AAAGGATGGCACGCTTCGCCTTTGCATTGATTACAGAGAACTTGATAAGGTAACCATCAAGAACAAGTACCCATTGCCTAGGTTTGACGATTTACTCGATCAATTACAAGGGGCACGAGTCTTTTCCAAGATTGACCTTAGGTCGGGCTACCACCAGCTGAAAGTTAAAGCCGAGGACATTGAGAAGACTGCTTTTCGGACAAGGTATGGCCACTACGAATTTTTGGTAATGCCTTTCGGAGTGACCAATGCTCCTGCAGCGTTCATGGACTTGATGAACAGAGTCTTTAAGCCGTATCTGGATGAGTTCGTAGTTATCTTTATTGACGACATATTGATATATTCCAAGAGCACAATTGAGCACGAGAACCATCTGAGGCTTGCCCTGCAAATTTTGAGAGACAAGAAACTGTATGCCAAGTTGAGCAAGTGCGAGTTTTGGCTTTCCAGCATCTCATTTTTAGGGCATGTGATCAATGAAGAGGGTATATCAGTTGATCCGAGCAAGATTGAGGCCATTGTGAATTGGCCGACGCCGACCAACATGTCCGAGGTTCGTAGTTTTCTAGGCTTGGCAGGTTATTACAGAAAGTTTGTGAAGGACTTCTCAAGGATAGCAGTACTATTGACACAACTAACTAAGAAAGGAACAACATATGAATGGACCGATGATAGGGAATCAGCCTTCCAAGAGTTATAGATGAGGTTGGTTACGGCACCAGTTCTTGTACTCCCGTCGGGTAATGAGGAATTTCAGATCTTCAGTGATGCTTCGCATAAGGGTTTGGGTTGTGTATTAATGCAAGGGGGCAGAGTCATAGCTTATGCATCTCGTCAGTTGAAGCTTCATGAAAAGAACTATCCAACCCATGATCTCGAGCTGGCAGCCATGGTGTTTACTTTGAAGATTTGGCGCCACTACTTGTATGGAGCCTCTTGCCAAGTTTTTACAGATCACAAGAGTTTGAAGTATTTGTTCACCTAGAAGGAACTGAATTTGAGGCAGAGAAGATGGCTTGAACTATTGAAGGATTATGACATGCAGATTCAGTATCACCCAGGTAAAGCAAACTCGGTAGCCGACGCATTGAGTAGGAAGTCAGTGGGAAGTTTGGCGTGCCTAGCCGTGATTTCAGTGGAGCCGACTACTATTGGGGAGGTAAAGGCAAGGCAAATGGAGGATGGATTCCTAAAGGAAGTAGCCGACGAGATTACCACCAAGCCGAGGTCAGGTTACGCCCTTGAGAATGGAGTACTTAAGTTTGAAGGAAGATTGTGCGTGGCCGACGTCCCGGAATTGAAAAGAAGGATTTCGCAAGACTCTCATGGATCCAGATTTGCAGTTCACCTAGGGAACACCAAGATGTATCGGGATGTGAAACAGACCTTTTGGTGGCCGAATATGAAAAGAGAGATAGCCGAGTTCGTGTCTCAGTGTTTGTATTGTCAACAAGTGAAAGCGGAACATCAGAGGCCAGCAGGACTTCTCCAACCTTTGTCGATTCCTGAGTGGAAATGGGAAGATGTCTCCATGGACTTTGTGATTGGTTTGCCAAAGACATAGAAAGGAATGGATTCGATCTGGGTGATAATCGACCGGTTAACTAAGTCAGCGCACTTCTTGCCGGTTAGGGCCTTGTACAGTGTCGATCGACTTGCTATGTTGTATATGAATGAAATCGTTAGACTTCATGGTGTGCCGATGTCCATCGTGTCAGACCGAGATCCAAAATTTGTTTCTAGATTTTGGCAGAGCTTACAAAGGGCTTTGGGGACCGAATTGAGGTTTAGTACAGCTTTTCATCCGTAGATCGACGGTCAAACAGAGAGAACAATTCAAACACTTGAAGATATGCTTAGACTGTGTGTATTGGACTTCAAGGGAAGCTGGGAAGAGCATTTGCCATTAGTGGAGTTCGCTTACAACAACAGTCACCAAGCTAGCATTGGCATGGCGCCATACGAAGCTTCGTATGGAAGGAAGTGAAGATCGCCGATATGTTGGACTGAAGTAGGAGATAAAGCTTTGATTGGTCCTGAGATAGTTCAGGTTACAACCGAGAAGATTAAGCTCATTCGACAAAGGATCAAGACTGCTCAGAGTTGACAGAAAAGTTATGCTGACCAGAGAAGAAGGGAGTTGGAATTCGAAATTGGGGATCATGTATTCCTGAAAGTTTCACCAATGAAAGGAGTTTCAAGATTTGGGAAGAAGGGTAAATTGGCACCCCGTTACATTGGACCGTTTGAAATTCTTGAGAAAGTTAACCCGGTTGCCTACAGACTAGCTTTACCACCGAGATTAAGTCAAGTTCATGGTGTGTTCCATATCTCGATGTTGAGGAAGTATATACGGGATCCACTACACCTGATCGATCATTTCGGGATTGTGGTTGATGAAGGCCTAAGCTATGAAGAAGAGCCGATACGTATCATCAATAGGCAAGTAAGGCGTTTGAGGAATAAGGTAATATCGATGGTGAAGATTGAATGGAAAGAGCATTACGGCAAGGATGCTACGTGGGAAATGGAACAGGAAATGAAAGTCCGATACCCGGAGTTATTCTCGAACCAAGGTAACTCAAGTTTGGGGACCAAACTTCTTTAAAGGGGGTAGAATGTAATAACCCTCATGCTATCCGAACCATACTCATATGCATTCATGTGATTCTGTCTTGTAAACTTGCATCTCGAGTCTTGTCCTTGTTTGTTTAAGTGTTACAACATGTTTTGTGTCTTGCTTGGTGTGAGTTTAGCCGAGGTCATTTTCGGTTACCTTAGAACCACTTTGTTTGACCTCCATCATTGCCCTGACATATTGGTCGAGATGTCATTACCTAGGCCGAGGTGTTCATCACCAAGGCTAAGTGTGAATTATCTAGGCTGAGATGTTACCTTTGCACCAAAGTGACCTTGTCCCGGAGAGGTATGACCTAGACCGAGGCGTGGCACATCTAGGCCAAGTTGTGGCATAGCTTAGTCAAGTGTTGTCCTTCCTAGCCGAGGTCATCATTCCCTACTTGCCGATGTCTTGATATTAGCCGAGGTCCTTACTCGCCAGAGTGCCCATGCCGTCTTGCTTGTTGAACACACTTTGTCATAGTTTTGTCTTGTCACTCAGTCACCTTTTTGTTTAGCACCAACCAGCCGCTGCCACGTGCCTCTGTAGAGGGTTAAGTCAGCCAGCAGACTTAGAAATGTATCATTTGCTATACATCCTTGTGGGTGAAGAGAGAAAAGCTCTAGAAGAAGTTTAGAGTGAGAGAGTGAGTTCGAGCTTGATTCCTAGAGATCAAACCATTAGATTCGCGTATTGAGGTTAGATTCTTGATCTACTCTTGTCATTCTTATTGATCATCTAGCTGCATTGCATGATCAAACCTGTTTTGCATATCATGCATCGATTTAAAGTTGGTTTTTGAAAGAGAAAATGGTGTTCATGTGTTCTTGAAAGAAAGGTCTTGTTTAATCTGAAAGTTTGCATTAAGCTTCGTATTTTTGTGTTTGTTCTCACTAGATCCTTGAATATGGGTACTCAGGTCCATTTTTTTGAACTCATAGCATGAAATCCTAGATTTTGTAATGACAAATCACGATCCTTGCATTCATCTCCCTCATGTTCATGTTCTTCATGTTCATCATGCTCTTCAAGAAAGGGAAACCCAGATTCTTCCCGACTTCATTCCGCTGAATGTGGCCATCGAGGCAACACCTCAGCAAGGAGGTGTGGGACCTCGGCCTAGAACTGGTAGTTGCCCAGCATGTTTTTCCGAGATAAAGAATTATGTTTGTTTTGATTTGACTTAGTCTTGGGGAATGCCGTGCTGAGATCATCTGCATGCATATGAAACTTGTTTGAAAGTGCATTCAATAGACTTTGCCACGTGTTTGTAGGGTTTGGACTTGCCTCGACCCCGTCGTTTGAAGAACTATGTGAGTGGTATTTTTAATAAAGCTATGTTATAATGTTTTGATAAAGTCTCGTTTTACTCCGTTTTGAGAAAGTATTTGCAAGCATGAATGGTTATTCCTAATTGGAAAATATATATATATATTCTTGTTTGATGACATTCTTGGAAGTCCGTATGTGCTGAGGGACTATAAGCGTTTGTAGCACAAAGTTTGGAAGTCCGTACGTGCTAAGGGACTATAAGCGTTTGTAGCACAAAGTTTGGAAGCCCGTACGTGCTAGGGGACTCTAAGCATTAGTAGCACAAGTCCTTAGTGTCCGGGGACTATAATGCAACGACACCATTGAATTGAGATATCTCCCTTGTCTTGTCTTGTTTGCCACTGACGGTTTACCGCGTGGGTCTTGTTTGCCGAGATGTCATCACTTGTATTATAATGATGTTAGTAAACATCCTTTGAAACTTGATAGATTTGGAGGATGGACTTATTTCATCCCTTGGCTTGTAACAACTATGTTATGTATTGTTTGATGAAGATCTTGAATACCAGTCATGCAAACCCCTTTATTTCTTATACCATTCACTGAGTATCCAAGCTCACCCTCTCTATATATATGTAGGTGATGTGCAGGAAGGCGGTAACGCCTAAGTGTGACTCGCAAGCTGTTTTGGGGTTTGTTATGTCGGCTTAACTTGCATACACGTCGGCAGTCTTGAAAATTATGCTTCTCGGCTTAGAATGCTTGTAATTTACTCATGTCAGCTGAAGAAGCCTTTTGATCAAGATGTAAAAATGTATTTTGTACTTTACTGTATTTGAATCCAAGTTGTAATATTATGTAAAGTTGTATGCCATTCCATATAACTTACGCACTGCTCTTATGGACCACTTGTATTTTAAGATTATCGTTTTCGCACTTGCGAGCCCCATACATAATTATACTCTGTTGTGTGTGAGTTTTGAAAGTTGGCCTTCGGTAATCTCGGGTTACTGGCCATCACGGCACTAAACTACTAGGGGCGGTTTGGGGTCGTGATAAATGACTCAAAAGCATTGAGCTTTCCCCTAGTTAAAAGAGTTCCAAAGTACTACAGCAAAGGAGGTGTTTGCCCAGCTTGCACTAGAACACTCTGCAAAGCATAAAGAGTAAATGAGGGCCTTGACATTTACACATTCTGAAGACAAATGGTTAGGGCTGATATCATGTTAATAAAACCTGAAATTTAGCAACAGTGTCAGAAGTGCGGAGAATTCCTTGCGGTGACTCTGCAGCAAGTTCTGCAGCCTCCTTATACTTTGTCTGACCAAACAATTCTTGGAACCGCTCAACAACCTGAGAAAGGAAAAAAAATAAAATCAAAAACAAAAAATCAAATTCAACCACCATTATGGAAGTGAATAGGCACCTGTCAGCAGACATCAACCAAAGCATCAGTCACTTAAAATTTTTGCCACCCTCTCTATTTGACTTAAATAATGTCCCAACATATACTTTTTTCATAAGGCAAGCTTAATACAAAAAAATAGGCGTTGACAGGTGTCCGGAGCTTTTGAGAATGTATTTTTTGCAGTGTTACATGGACTCTTCTGCAGTCTAGTCTAAAAATAAGAATATACTAGTTGTTACCTTCCCTTCAACATGCATGTCCGACAGGTGCAACTTCACCCACATTCCGCAAACCATTCACTTCCGTAGTTGTATACACAGCACACCACACCACATGTTGCAGAAGTTTCACATATCACAACTGCTGATTCAGCTAGTTCTTCATCAGATGGATTGGCAGTATGCACGCCTTACAGCAACACTGCAGTAGCAGCAGCAGCAGCAGCCAGCAGAATTAAAGATGAAGCCATTTTTTTTTCTTTTGGGAACAAAAAAAGAATTTGAAAACAAGTTACTGCAAATGAATATAAAAAATGCAAGATAAAATAAGACACATTGACACCCTATACTTTTTTCTTGATGATTAAAATATTGTTAGCCTAACCATCTAAAACAAATTCAATCTTAGCTTCCCATGACCTATTATTACTTAGCAATTCATACTACACCTAAACCCTAATTGATCCACTTCCTGAACGTGTATTTGTAAGTAACTTGTATTTCTTTGTAAAACATTCCAAAAAGACCTTTACATAACATTGCGTAAAAACTAAACTAAACACATCATAACAATTAGTAATGTAACCAAATTAATATCAAATGCATTTCAATATCCCAAATTTTATTCAAATATCCAACTATACTAAACATAAGAATCCTAAAATGCGTCTAACTATATCCAACAATCCCAAACATAATAATTCCAAAAAGTATATAAACATTCAACAGAAAAACCTATAAAACGAAACAAAGAAAAATTAAATGAATGCCAACGTGCAAAACGATATATATCACTATTGAACCACGAACATTCATCACCAACTTGTGAACAAAGGATAAAAACATGAGTATTTTATTAATGCATTAACTTCAACAATAATATACAAATATAGTAAAAATTAATCAGAAATTTGTTGTGAAGCTATTGTTTTATCAAGCTATTGTATACAAAGGTTGTAATGCTAGGATTGTAATACAAAGTTTATCTAATTTTATATTGTTGACACATGTTAGGATTGGTTAAATAAAGTAAATCAATTTAATGAGGTGTCAAATTTACCTCTATTTCAACCAAGAGAAGTTTCATCCTCCCTTACACCCGATGCATCCTCCCCGACATTGTTGCTTGGAACTAACCCCAGAATGTTTGCTAGATCTATCCCATTTTTTGCTGCAAACATTTGAATGATAGTTTGCATTGTACTCATGTTTTGAGCCTGGTCAACTAACTGCTTTCCTTGGTTAGCTAATTGTTGTCGCTGGTCAACTAACTAATGTTGAAGAACAATCACCTCGGAGTTAGGAGCCTCAAAATGTGTAGAAGATGAAGTACTGTCCTTGCGGATCCCGTATCCCTTCAAGTAGACCGACCTCTTCCCAAGTACTTCTCTGGAAATCTGCTCCTCAGACAATGGATGTGTGACACTAGGTTGAGATTGCTCAGCGATCTTTGAAACCATAGTGGCATATGAATGAAACATAAATAAGCTTAAAACATAATATCAAAATGCAAACATTTATTATTGAAATTGAAATAGTTATGGTTACATGATGTTCCTCAGCTGTGTTATTTATCCACACTCCCCCATGTCGGTGACGTTTGTGGGTGTCCTCGAATAGTTTCGTAATAGTCGGTTTGCTTCCTTGTACCTTTCATTTCATTAGATTTTCTAGTCAATCAAAAAATTCTGTATTTATAATTTAGTATGTTCAAATTTGTAAATCTACACTTACAATGATAGATGCTCGCGATGCAAATGATCTCAAGCCACTCGTATGATTATACTTCACACAACCTCTCGCTTTCATCGCATTCTCTGACTTTACCTACAAATTAAAAAAAAAATTAGGTATTAATATACAGGAGGATGTTACTTTAGTAAATATTTTTATAAATACCTTCCAATCATCAGTTTCCCACAAATTGTCAATCATCCATTCCCAATCATCCTTTTTACAAGGATATAGTATCTGACTTTTGAGGTCAGATACATTGTCTTCTTTAAGGGATTTGTAGTGTGTGTGTAATCTACTTTTCCATTCACTGTACAAAGTTTGGCACTTATGATCAATAATACATCTCACATCCACATCATTATTGTAGTCCCCAAAGTCAAAAGTTTGCTGCAATTGGAAATAATAAAATTCAATATATTTTATATATCATTGCGATTAACATAAATAACATGTTAAATATGTAACACATATATTTCAAATTACCCCAACTCTTGTAACAATGGACTCTCTTAACCCAAAGGCAATTTCTAGCCATCCATCATTTCGAACTGGGGCATGAACTCGAACTTGTTGACCAAGAGCAGCTGCTAGCGGTGTGGCATAATCCCCTTCTATTGCTTTGGTCAAACGGTTAAGTGTAACGGGTATTCGATCACCACGTTCCTTTCTAATCTTCCCCACATTCTTTCCTCGGGTCGGTCCTCGTACACGTTTCTTGCCCAAAACTAGAATTGATGCTATTAAGACCAAAATTTTATTCAATTTAGTCGACATAAAACATGAATGCACTAAATAAATATTGAGATAAGAAATTATCATTTCTTTTAAGTGGTCATTTATTTCTCACCACCACTGTTAGTCACAGTACATGGACTTGAACGGTGGTCAGGTTGAGTGGCAGAGGTAGGGAGCTGATCGGGCCTAGTATGTAAGGCGGGAAGATGGATAGGTTGGGTCGAGACCTCAGGTGTGCTCTCTGAATGATTAACTTGTGCAGCTACAGGTCATCTCAGAAGAGTAAGTGTACCTTTATCAACAGTACTTCTCTTTTCCCTAGGTGTTTGTGAAGCTATTAGGCGAGCTGCACACCTATTTGTTTCCTACCGGGACCCATATGAATATCCTGACATAATATAAAAAAGAATTGTTAGTACATTTTCAATAATTTAAGGTTGCTTAATAAAAAATAAATTTGAAATAACTAAACATACCAGAAGTAATATAACAAGTGAAAAAAATAGAGAAATTACTTTTTAAACACACATTTATGACCTCAATCACTTGAGAATCAAAAGGTTCGCCATTATCACTTGAAGAACTCAGTCCTTCATCATCATCAAGTGGTTGATAGTCCTCGTCATTATTAGTTTCACCCACCTTTCTCTTTCCCACCCTACAACTTTCACTATTGTCCTTTTCAATAGAACCAAACATTGAATTCTTGAGGGACTTTATCCCTAGAGCATCAAATCTGATTTTATTTTTCTGGATTGTTTTTTTCCTATCCTTCTCATATTTCGTCATCTTCTGGACTAAGCCGCCGGGCTTCAGAAATGATTTACCGTTTCTGGACATCTTTGTAACTGTACATATGGCATATAATTAAATGAAATGAAATAGAGAAACAATGCTATGAAATTTGAAAAACAATGCCATGCAATGTAAACCAAGCAATTTATTATTAAATTATAACACTTGTCTATATAATTAAAAATTAAACACTACATATCATAAATCTATATCAAGATCTATATCAGGATCTGCATCAACATCAGGTTGTCTATGCAGTTCATCATCTTCATCATCATTATACTCTATGATTGTGTCGTCCTTGTCATCATTGTGAACTAAATTCTCTGCCATTAGTTGATCATTGAAAATGATCTCAGGATCCATATCATCCCTGCTGTATTGAACATCATTATCTTGGATCACTACCCCAACACCATCAGTGGTTTCATCCTGTTGAAAAGCATCATTAGAGACATCATCCCGCTCTGGTATATCCTATACTCCCCAATGCTTAACACGTTCAACGACTCTCCAATTTTTGCCTTTGCTAGTATCATTGACGTAGAATACTTGTCTTACTTGACTAGGTAGAACAAATTGGTCATCTTTATACCAAAGTCTTGTAACATCAATACTTGTGACATGTTCATCGGAGTATATTCTATTCTTGTGACCGGTGTCATACCATTGACATTGGAACAAAACCATTGTACCCCCATCCAAGTATTTCAATTCCCATATTTTTCACAAGTAGCCGTAAAAATTAACTTGGTTCCCATTATGGTCCCCTTCTATGACCAACCCACTATTTTGGCTGGTACGACGATTTTCACGGTTTCTAGTATGGAATCGAATTCCATTGTAGATGCACCCAGAATAAAAGTCAATTACCGATCCAGGACCATTTGCTAATGACCACAATTCGTCAGTTGCTTCAGGTGACCCTTTCGTTCGCAAATCATTCATCTACATAAAACACCATATAACAAGTGTACTAAGTTAATGTGAACTGAAAGTTTCAACAATTGTATTCAGTTATTTTCTTTAGTATATCTTACACGATATTTGAACCATTTTGGAAATTCTTCTCGTTGTACCCGAGTTATGTCACGTCCTTGTAGATTATGTAAAATATTCTTCTGCTCCCTACCCAAGGAAATATGATATACGTAATTAACTATGAGAGTTCGAAATAAAATGGAACGATTATGCATAAACGTAATTAAACTTAAATACATACTCAATATATGGCTCCACCTCAGAGCTATTGTACAGCACAAACCAGTGAGCCATTTCTCGTTCATTTTGCGAAGGGTCAAGAGCCCTTGTGATAGTGAGAATAGACGAGCATTTTGGGTGAAGACCTCCATCCCGGGACCACGTTCACCACCATCATCATTTCGTTCAGGTTTATCAATCCCTTTTAAGTACATTGAACAAAAAGTAAGACACTCTTTGATAATGTAAGCCTCAACGATAGAACCTTCTGGACGTGCTCTATTACTGACATACCCTTTCAAAGTCCTGAGAAACCTTCAACAAAAATTGACAATGAAAGTTATGCTTCTTGATGCAAGAAAATTACTTCTTAAACATTAGTCTTTTATGGGTGGATTTTTTCACAATAGTTTAGTTATAACAAATTAATAAACAGCCATATGTTCATAATGATTACCTTTCGATCGGGTACATCCATCGATGTTGCACCGGTCCAACGAACATGGCCTCACGGGGCAAGTGAACAGCCAAATGGACCATCACATCAAAGAAAGCTGGAGGAAAAATTTTCTCCAACTTGCAAAGTATGAGCACAATTCGTTCTTCCATTTTTTCCAAATCAGTCAGCCTTAATGTTTTTGAGCACAGTTCTTGGAAGAAGTTGCCCAACTCAAATAGTGTTGTACAGATCTCCTTGTTCACAAAACCACGCATGCCAATTGGTAGAAGTCGTTGAAGCAGGACATGACAATCATGGCTTTTCATGCCCGATAATCTTCCATTTTTAGAAGTCACACATCTTGAGATGTTTGCTACATAGCCACCTGGATAACTAATCGATTTCAAGAATTCACAAAAACCATCTATTTGTCGAGAATCCAATGTGTAGGCTGCCTGAGGCTTTACAACGTTTCCATTATCTTTCCTCTGTAGATGCAATTCTTTCCTTATGCCCATTTCTTGCAAATCATCACATGCTTTGTACGTGTCCTTGTTTTTCCCATCTATGGCCAACATCGTCCCGTAAAAGTTTTCACAAATATTCTTCTCAATGTGCATGACATCAAGATTGTGTCGGAGGTTTAATTTCTTCCAATACGGTAGCTCCCACATTATGCTTTTCTTTGTCCAATTCAATTCTTCAGACTCTCGTGGTCTTTTCTTGTTGGTAGGATCCTTTCCAAACTTGACTTCCCGCAATTGATCCAATTGAGCCATTACTTTTTACACCGGTAAATCCAAGGATTTCTTTCTAAGCTCAGTTAAACCATCAAACTTCTTGTCTTTCCTCCAAAGGGGGTTATCAGGCAAGTAAGCTCGATGACCCACCCACCCAATCTTACTGATCAACCCGCATGACAATGGATTATCATTACAAGGAGGGCAAGACAAATAACCTTTAGTTCTCCATCTGGATAAGTCACCATATGCAGGGAAGTCATTTATGGTCCACATTACAGCTGCATGCATCCGGAAGGTCTGTTCAGTGGAGGCATCGTAAGTCATCACGCCATTCTCCCATAACTCCTTCAACTCATCAATCAATGGCCTTAGGTAGACATCAATATCAGTCCCTGGTTGATTACGTCTAGGAATAAGTAAGGACATCATGAAAAATGGGGCCTGCATACATCTCCAAGGTGGGAGGTTTTAGGGCATGAGTATAACAGGCCACACGCTATAGGAAGTGCTCATGTTCCCAAAAGGGTTGAACCCATCAGTGGCTAGGCCCAACCTAACATTGCGAGTCTCCTGGGCAAACTCTGGATAATGCAAATTAAATTCCTTCAACTCTTTACAATCAGCCGGATGCCTCCCTGCACCATCATCCACACACTTATCACTATGCCATCTCATGTCTTTTGCCGTCTTCCTAGACATGTACAATCTTCTCAACCTAGGTGTCAATGGGAAGTAACGCAATATCTTGTGAGGGATCTTCTTACCCTTGCTATCATTTACTCTGTACCTAGATGCTTGACATGTGGGACATTTTTCCAAGTGAGCATTCTCCTTCCAGAATAGTACACAATCATGTTTACATGCATCGATGAGCTCGTACCCCAAGCCCAAGTCACGTAGCAACTTCTTGCACTTGTAAATTGACCCTGGCACCACGTGGCCTTCTGGTAGGAATCGCCTTTGTATCTCCAAAACCTTGTCAAAAGACTTATTGCTCCACCTATTTTCTACCTTCACATGTAGCATCTGAATAACGAATGATAACAAAGTATCCAAGTTTTTGCAACCTGGGTACAAGCAACATTGGGAAGCATCTAACACTTTATCAAAATGTCGTACATCCTCTCTTTCTAGAGTATCACCCTCCATAAAATTCCCCCTCTGATAGTCCTCTATCAATTCATCATATTCATCTTCATCCTCATCATTCTCACCATTGCTTTCATCAAGGTTATTATGTTCTGGAAGTTCACCGTGTTCTAACCAAGTGGTGTATGATACTATCA